CACATATTTTAATAAATCTTGTTAAAGTACAGACGTTTAAGATTAACATAAAAACCTACCAATCTTATATTTTTAAATTTGAATACATAAAAAAATTCTAAGGCATTTTATACAAAAAAAATCACAGTAAATTATTAATTAAGTTTGCTTGTAACATGTAAAATTAAAATTATTTGCTGTTATTTTTTTCTTCTAACTCTTGCAATTCAATTTTTATTTTCTTTAAAAGTTTTTCTTAAACTATTAGATTTTGACAACTAAATCATGTCATTTAATTTCCCTGTTTGAACAGCAAATTCATCAGCGTACTTAATAAGTTCATCTATGGAACATAATAATCTAAGGAGTTTCTAAGGACTAATTTAGAAGTCTAAGTAGTTCCAAGTACTCCTTGGAGACTAGGAGTCTGTACGCACCCTGCGCACATGTGTCATGAATAGGACTGGGCGATGTAAGAAATTTCATATTGTGATACATCGACTGTTGGATATCGCGATTTAGCATATGTTCAAATATTATCTATCAGAAATCTTTAAATTAATCAAAAGTAAATAAATCTATTACAAAACAAAATGACTTAAGTAAAAAAAAAAAAGCTTTATTTTAATTTTTTAAAAATTAAAAATGATTTAAGATTTATTGGTTTAAAAATAACGAAACTAGCTAAATATTTTATATACATGCATTAAAAATTGAAAGAAAAAAAAATGAAAGTAAAAAAACAAACTAAATAAATGTTCACTTTAAAACTATTTTTTAATAATTTGTTGAAAAAAACCGAGCTCTTGAAGCACTGTTAGACCTTCTTTAATTTATTTATTTAAAATAATAAAGTTGTATTAACTAATTGTCTAATTCTATACTTAATGAATGTAAAAATAAATTCGACTAAGGATTTATTTGTTTGAAGGACTGAAGGATTCGACTAAGGTAGTGAAAGAAGTATGAAGTATTTGTAGTGAAAGAATTTTAAGAAAAAAAATATTTTTTTTTTTAAAAGTACTATTGTTAAATTATTAAAAAGCGTCAAAACATTGCTTAACTTTTTATTCAATTAAAAAATATATTTGTTTTAGCTAATAGCCAAATTTTTTTTATAATTAAAAATGACTGAATATTTATTTGTTTAAAAATATTTAAATTCTATTAAATTATTATACTTACGTGCATTAAATAAATTTAAAAAAACAAACTTTTTATAACAAAGTTAAATGCAAAATACCCATATTAAATTGCATCGCTTAAAATGAAAAACAATAATTAAAAAAAGACAATGAAGAATTTTTTTTAAATTCATATTTTCTTTTCAATAATAGATTGAGTTCAGAACGAAGAACGAAAATTTAAGATAACAGCGATTGCGCAACAATAACTAAGTAACAGTAGGTCTACTAAAAATAATTGACAACAATCGTTAAATCCCAACAGAAAAAAAAATAAAAAATGAAGAAGCGACGAAATAATGCACAATGAAACGATCGCTAAGTAGCAAAAGTCTCACAGAAAATAATTTAGAAGAAACATTAACTCCTGACGGAATAAAGTGCACTGAGATCACAAGATAACGTAAGTCCAGCTGAAAATAATCTTCAAGAAAAGTAAACTTCCTATGACATAAATGGCGCATAAAGAAACTATGTATAGCGTTCTATTTCACCGCTGATCCTCGCACGAAACCGGGAGTTCTGATTCAATTTGCTTTTCGTTATTTAACATCACGAAACTAACATCATCTTCGTAGTAAGACGCTATCAACAGATCCGCAGTTAGACGAAATCAAAAGGATGCATCGATTTATAGCACAGTCCTAGTCATGAAATTGAGAAAAAAGATGGCTTTTTGACACTGCCGCATCAACACATTTTTGTAATAATTTGGATTTATTCTTTGCATATGAAACTGTAGAAAAAGCTTCTATGTCGTTAGCCATAGGTGACATTGAAAGCCCAATCTTAGGTATTGGAAAAGTGCAATGATTTAATAAGGTAAATCGTAAAATGCACAGAGTAACTTTACAACATGTCATGTATTCTCCTAAACTTAGAAATCTTATTTCTGGTTCTATAATAGAGAAAGCTGGGGGTTATTTTATGGGTGCTACAAGTTGTATTTCTGTGCATAATCGGGTAAATGGGAAGATTTTCTATTGTAAAAGAAATATTGGCTTGTATTATTTTAAACCTAATGCTTATACTAAGCCTGATAAAGAATTAGTTATTGACAGAAGTGTTAGTGACGCGGATGAGCAATTATTTAATATCTCTGTTCAGACAAATGATCTAGATATCTGGAATTTAAGGTACTGCCACATAAATTGCGATTATATAACTCAAACAAGTAAAAATTCTACAGTGAAAGGATTACCTGATCCCAATTTTTCAGGTAGTAATTGTATAGAATGTAAATGAGCTAAATCTAAAAGAATTTCGTTTAAACCAGATTAAAGTATAAACTTTCGGAACTTTTACATATGGACGTATGTGGTCTGATGCCCATCATTTCACATGGTGGAAGTCAGCATTTTCCATCTATCACTGACGATTTTTCAAGGAAAGATACTGTTTCTCCCATCAAAAAGAAATCTGATGTTTGTAATTGTTTTATAAGATATCAAAAGCGAGCTCAGAAATTTTTAAACTGTAAATGTTAGAACCGATAATGGCATGGAATTTTGCCATAAAGAGTTCAGTGATTTTCTTGAGAATGAAGGTATAAAAGCTGAGCGTACTGACACTTATATGCCAGAACAAAATGGTGTTAGTGAACGCTATAATTTACCTGCCTTAGATAATATTAAAGTAATGTTAAAATCTAGTAAATTAGGAGATGCTTTTTGGACTGAAACTTTACCATGCTTTACTTACACTTTTAATAGAATTTGTCATAAAAACCAAATTAAAACTCCCTTTGAATTGTATAGTGGTAGAAAACCATCAGTCACTCATTTGAAATCATTTGGTTGTTTAGCATTTGTGGGTCAACCAAAACAGTTGAGAAATAAACTTCAAATGAGAGCTAAAGAAGGGATTACGTTAGGTTATGCAATACATACGAAGGGTTATAGAATTTGTCTTAAAAATGAAAGGAAACTTGCTGAAACAATAAATGTTTGTTTTGATGAAAGTGTAATAGCAGTACTGGGCACCCATTAAACGCAATTTTGCTAGTTTCAAACTGGAACATCCCAATTTTAGATGAAAGTGCTTCAGATGAAGATATAGATAATTCAAGTATAAAAGAAGTAAAACCTGATTTAATACCGTGTAAAAACATTTCGAGGATTAGAAAAGCTGTACCACATCCAGATAATAGTCTAACTTAATTTTAGAGGGGGTAATGAGACACATAGCCCTAATTGTTGTCCTTGTTCATTTCCACAAAGTTTTATAAATAACGATATCTTTAATACAATGTTATTGTAAAAAATAAATTTTAATTTAAGTAATCACTTTTTTCCCTGCTGAATTCACATTCCACTGTAAAACCACTTTATTTTCCGACCAATTTTCATGTGGTTTCTCATATTTTTACATTTTTAACTACATACGACACAGAATGTTATTAAGGCACACGAACTTCGCATTTCAGTAATGACTATTTGTTAATGATTTATTCGAAAATCACTTTTTGACATGCCTGATTCCATAGTAATTTTACGTCTAGCGATCTTTTTATTTTTGACCATTTTCTAGTTTCGAAATTTTAAATAGGTTATTATTACAAAACAATGTAGAATTAGAAAGTATTATTTTTAGACTTGCTCTATTTGTAACGATTCTATAGTAATTCCATGTCATTCATGGATTTTTTGTTGACCTTTTTCACATGGCAGTCCAATTTCTATATTTTTAATACAATGTTGTATTATGACAACAGTGATACTTTGGAAACTACACGTTTTAGGACTCCCATATTTATAAGTGTCCTTTTACAAAAAGTAGGTCCTTTTTAAAAATATTAATTCTTTACCTCTTTATCTATTGATCAATGTGCAGAATCAAAATTCTTTTCCTTATTGGTAGAAAAAACAAAAAATTCAAAACAAGAAGAGTTATGGATAATTATGGCTTTTAATTAGGACAGACAAATGCCCGCATTAAGTAAAAACAATGATATAATTTCATGCAATAGAAAAAGATTTTTGTTTATTTTCAGTTGTAGTTGTTGTTTTCAGTTGTAGTTGTTGGAGAATTAATGTCCCAAGAGGCATATCATAACTTATTGTTTATGTACCCTCAAATGATCTTTGGCATATTTAACGTGGAATAATAATATGAAATGGGAACGTATAAAGCAGAATGAATGGACAAGTAAATTTCATTATTTTAGTAATAACTACTTGACAGCTTCTTTCGATGGAGGAAAAAACACACCTAACTAAACATGTTACACATTCAGGTGAAAAATGTAAATGGCTAGTTGTTTTTGAGCAACAGAACCGATTTCTGTGCAGAATTTTGGCGCAAAATTGGGCCAAAGTTATTTTGCAGCATTTTTGGGAGGGAAATGGCATTTTGGAGTAATTTGAGCAACTGTTCCAAGACTGTATGCATATAGTAATTTATTATTTTTCTATAAGCAGACGTACCTTTTTTTTTTGTTTATTACAATTCATTTAAATTTGCAAGATAAATGTTTTTTTATTTGTCTGAAAAACTCTTCAGTAAATACAGGAACATGAAACACTAATAATTTAAAAATTAAACAGTGAAAACAATTCATGACATCTATTGACAGAAAAGATTTCATTAAGAAAAAGGTACAGCTGCCCAGCTGCCAATGTCATAATGGGCTTGAAAGCTGCAACCAGCTGTAAGCGCGTTGTGTAAATCAATAGATTAATAAGTAGATCTTAAGTAGAAGAGAGTTTGCAGTATTTAAAGGTTATTATTTAAATACATAAAAAGAAAAAAATATTCACAAAAATATAAAAATAGTTTGAATTTTGAAGAATGTAAATATAAATTTAGTAGAAAAAAAAGCACTTTAAAACAACTAACTTGAAATCCTTAACAAAAGGCTCAAATAGCTTAGATATGCTAGCAGCGTCTTTGAAACCTTTTAGAGCTGAGATAAGATCCAAAATTTTCTTCCTATTGTAAACTTCCATCTCATAAAATATGGCACGAGTTTCAGGATGATCTTTATTACGTGATAAGCCATGCACATGTATCCTGAAATAATAAAAAAAATTGCTTTTAAATATTGGATTAAAAATTTCTGAATATTTTGACCACACCTTTTAAGTATTTTATGCAAATGAAAAGATTAGTATATATGCTTATATATTAATATTACTATTAAAGTTACAAATAATAAAATAGAACATTCCATTTTTTAATACTAAACTTATAGAAAGTGCACTTCACAATACTTTTTCATCACATTAATAAAATGAAACAAATAATTTAACAATAATAAATAAATATGAGAAAAATAAACACAATTTTGATACAACAACTGAATGAAATATAGAGTTTGATTTCATACTTGTTTAGTAATCTCTCTAAATCAGGCAATTTTCTCAAGCATTTTTGAACATCTTCAAAAATAGTTATGTTTTTAAGATCATTAATAGCATCTAGTCTGTCGTAAATTTCTGTTGGTTGATATAAGGGTGAGCAAAGCCATTTGCGAAGTTCTCTTTTCCCTGTGAAATAAATTAAAGTTTGATAATTATTTCATTTTGTAAATTATCATCTCTAGAATACTAAACTACGTCACAAAACGGTGAGTTAGAAATAAAGGGAGATGGATTAGATTCGTTTAATTTGAAGATTTTTTTTTCCTAAACTAAAATACTGAGCAAAAGTGGTAAAGTGGTTAAGGTTTTAAAATCAGATTAACTAGAATGATCACAGTAATTAGAATAATATCTTATTAGAAATGACAAGAGTAATTATAGATCAGTAATTTTTGAGTTCTCAAATATCACCTTTTCATTTATGCTGCAAAGGAAAACCTCACTTGTTTATACAAATGCATTTTGGAATTAAATACAAATGCTAGATATGTAAAAGGAATTTAATACTTACAATTTGCAAATTTTATTTTTATCGAATTTTGAACTACTTTAAAAAAACTTTCCAGTTTTTTGTTTGTATCAGCATGTAGAAAATTGTTAGGCAAGCTTATTTAAAGAACTTAGAATTATTTTATTATTTCAGAGAGGTTGTAGTTTTTTTTTTTTCTATTTCTCCAAAGCTCTTGAACAGCAAGATAAATTTTTGTAATCATTATTTTTTTAGTTTGATTATCTAAATTAAAACTAAACTAAACTCAGTGGCGCGACAGCCGATAGAGGGCCAAGGCCTACTGTCCCCTTCTCAGTTTTCTTGACCTTGGGCTCTGGGGTGCAGGAGCAGATGTTCCGGTCAGGTGGTCAGCCGAACGCGGAACCCCCAGTGTTTAGTTCCCAAGCATGCTTGGTACTCATTTATCAACCCACTGAAGGGATGAAAGGCTGAGTCTACCTTGCCCGGCCCGAGGATCGAACCAGGGACCTGTGACACGACAGCGTGAAGCGCTACCGCTCAGCCTCCGGGCGTCTTATCTAAATTAATGTGATATAAAAAATAAACGGTTGATTTTGCTGAATATAATAATTTAATTTAAACAACTAACAATACAGTATAGAAGCTACAGTCGAGTAAAAAGATTTAACAGATTAATTTTAAATAGAATTTTAGGAAAGAAATGATAATCATAGATATATTGGGATTGTAATAATTGTTTGTTTTAATAGTAGTGAAGGAAAATAGAAAATTAAACTATATTTCACTAATAGTTAGATTTTTTTAACCTAAATTTTAAATTTTTCTTTTGTCTTACCATTAAACAAACCTGAATATTATGTTTATTATATTATGTTCGGAAATTTGAATAGTAGATATGAAATTAGCTATGGAGAGTAGTAACATAATCATGAACTCATATTAAAAAAAAAAAAAAAATCATGATAAAGAAATATAAATATTTTGAATTAAATCAAAACTGAGAAGTTCTAGTTCATAAAAAAAGCATCAGAGAAGTTAGGATTCATATTCTTTAATAACAACAAAACAAAAAGGAAACATTAGAATAACCAAAACAAAAGAGTAGGCAACGCTATCTATTAATTCAAAACATAAATTTTCTACATCCAGCCCACTCCAATGCATTGGTTTAACGATGCATTCTATTACAAATAACCATACAAATGTTATACACTTACAAAAACAAAACAAAAGAAACATTTAATAAATATTTATATTGATGAATACTATAAAAAAAATCCTGATAAAGAAATATAAATATTTTGAATTAATTCAAAACTGAGAAGTTCTAGTTCATAAAAAAAGCGTCAGAGAGGTTAGGATTCATATTCTTTAATAGCAACAAAACAAAAAGTAAACATTAGAATAGCCAAAACAAAAGAGTAGGCAACGCCATCTATTGGTTCAAAACATAAATTTTCTACATCCAGCCCACTCCAATGCATTGGTTTAACGATGCATTCTATTACAAATAACCATACAAATGTTATACACTTACAAAAAAAACAACATTTAATGAATATTTCAAACAAAGAATAAACAAAGTAATCAATCACTTTCTAATAAGATAAGTTTTTCAATGAGTCTATTTACAACACTGTTTTGTAATTGGATTTCACATGACCTTATTCTACCATCTCTGCCTGGAAAAATATATTTTATTCGACCTAACTTCCACCCACATTAATCTTTTAACAATATCTTTGCGTTACAACATCACCAATTTTAAAACTGGCAATATTTTTGGGCATTTTATGCATCATAGCAGATCTTAATTCTAGCAAATATTCCTTTTGCCAGCATTTCCAAAAATGTTCTATCATCATAAGCCTATGTTTCCATCTTTTTGTTAATTCTGCTTTTGAAGACTCTAATTTAGAACTGGAGGATGGTAAAATGGTTAATTGATTACCTATCATAAAATGCGAAGGATCCAGTTCATTAAAATCGTTATACATATAAGGCATTGGTCGAGAGTTGATAACAGCGTCAATCTCTATAAGTACAGTAAGTAATTGCTCAAAAGTTAATAAAGATTTATGTAATATTCGTTTCAATGCAATTTTAACTGATCTTACCAAATGCTCCCAAAAACCACCCCACCATGGAGCACCTTTGACAATAAACTTCCACTCAATTCCTTGCTTTTCTAAGTATTGTAGAATCTTGTCATTTTTACACAATTTGAATAAATATTTAATTTCATGATCAGCAGCTTAAAATTTGAAATTATCTGAATATATTATTTTACTAATGCCCCTGCATCCAAAAAACCTTCTTAGAGCCTGAATAAAACTTTCAACTTTTAAACTAGAGACTAACTCTAAGTGAACCCCACGAGTTACAGCACATGTAAACAATGCAATGTAACACTTAGAGCCATCCCTTAAATAAAGGGGTCCTGCAAAATTGATGCCTGTTATATTAAACGGTGGAGATTTTTCGATTCTGTCAACAGGCTACTTGCTTACCAGAAGTAACACTAAATCTTCTACAAATTTTACATCAATATAAAACAGATTTCACAAATTGTCTACCTTTCACTATCCAAAATTTACTTCTTATTAGCAATAAAGTGTCATTCACACCAGCATGCAAAATCCTTTCATAATAATCCTTAATAATTAAAATAAAATAATCATTATTAGGTAATATTATTGGACATTTTTCACTAACATCTAATGAGGAATTAACGAAACGACTTTTAATTCTCAGAATCTTATTTTCATCAAGTTTGGGATTCAACTGAAGTAGTTTAGAATTAGAATCGATTTCTAAATTATTTTTTAAACAATTAATTTCCTTCGCATAGTATTTACATTGAACAGTTGTTATCTAATAATTATTTGATTCCCCTCCTTCAGAACTTGCAATTGTCCCATTTTGTTCTACACAAGACCTTAAATTCTAAATGAATCTAAAAATATAGGATGTTACATGTAATAATTTACGTACAGTACTAAAGTTCTCAACTTTGAGCACAGGCTCTGGATCAGCACTTGCAATAAAGGAAACAGTCATTATTTCAGTTTGAACATCGTCAGTCATCGACCACCATAAATCATCCTGCACAAGGGCACTGGTGTCAATTCCTTCTCTCATCAACTTATCAGAGCCAGAACAGTGATTCCATTGATTGGGATCGCTTCTTTGTTGAATTTTGGTGACTTGGTTTGAGACAAAACGTTCCCATTTCCGGGGATATTCACGAATCCAATGCAAAATGATAGTTGAATCAGTTCACATTAAGATTCACTCACGGATTGATGCAATCATTCTGGTTCCAATAACAGCAGCCCCTGTGGCAGAATTTTTTCTGGCTTTCTGCGACAAACCTAACTAGAATCAATATCTTTCTGCTAGATATTTTTATCATTATAGATATATGTGTAATGAATTTATAATAATAGATGCACTTCGTGGTTATAAAAAAAAAACTTCATGCATAGAGTAAAACTATGTAGATTTTTTTTCCTCATTTCATAATATAAGTTTAAATTTCTTAATAAGTTTAAATTTGCATAATCTTTGATAATAAAGAAAAATTATAAATGTATAGATCTGCAGACAAAAATGCTTACTAGAACATAAATAAAGATTACCCAGAACCTGTAATAAGATAGAACTTATAAAAAGAGCTAAGAATGGACAAAAAGATTAAATTTATAAAACAAGATAACTGAATTTGAAGTATCAGTTTAAAACAGTATGATTTAATGTTTCACTATAGTAGTTATATCAGGTACAGAAACAAATCAGGTGAAAAAATTAATATTGAAGTTGAGTAATCAAAATAATAAAATAGTATTGACTATAACCGAATTCTAAAAGCAAAAAAATTAAAGCAATGTTTGTTTCAATTTTTTCTACATCTAATTAATTTTATCTAATTAATTAGATGCGATTAATATTGTACTGACTTATTGAAAGATTTTTTTTT